AATGTTAGCATTGAGTCTCCAGGAAAAAAAATAACCTTAAATTTTATTTTTACTTTTTGGTGTTTTGGGGGTTTTCTTTTTTTAAATTCTTGGGCCACACTCAGAAGTTCTCAGGGATTATTTTGCATTTAGGGGTCAGTCCTGGCAGGTTCGGAGGACCTTATAGGTGCCAATGACTACGAAGTGCCAGGGACTGACCTTGGGTAGACAGAGTACAAAGCAAACCCTATCCACTATATTGTCTCTCTGGTCCCTATTATTCTGGCTTTTTTTGTTGTTGTTGATCTACACAACTGTGTAATATTTATTTACAAGGCTGTATGTCAATTTTCTATTTCTGAAAAGTAGATGTTACCATACCAGATCCATAACCAAAGTTGCAATATTTCTCTACAATATTCCTTTCGTGCCTCTCTGTTCCTCAATTTCTTTCACTCTTTTCCGATAACATTGGTTCTACATTCAAGGTCAATTATTTGTTTTCCTTTGTCTTTGTCTGTTTCTTTGCTTATTCTTATTTATCTCACATATGAGGGAGATCATCTGGTATTTGTTTTTGCTTTCTGACCTACTTTGCTAAGTAGAACTTCTCCAGTTATAGCCATATTTTGTCAAAAGGCAAGACTTCATCTTTTCTTATAACTAAATTGCATTTTATTGTGTATTTCTAATACAACATTATCAATTCATCTGCCACTGGGTTCTTGAATTGTTTTCATATCTAAGCTATTATAATAGTATTACAATTAATATGGCTGTGTATTTGTATTTGTAATTTAGTCTTTTGGTATTCTTCAGATAGCTACTCAGGAGTGATTTTTTTATTATGTGGTAGACTTCCTTTAAATAGTTCTAAAAGTATCCATACTTTTTTCCATAGGAAACCAACCAATTTACAATCCCATCAACAGATTCAGAGATTCCTTTTTCTCCCTAACATTTTTAACAGCATTTATTTCTGGTCTTTGGATATATTTTCACAGTTGTGATGTGATAACTCATTGTTTTGTTTTTGAGTTTCCCTGAAACAAGTGAGGATGAGCAATTTTTCCCCATGCATTGGTTGGCCATATATTGCACATTTCTTCTTTAGTAGTTTCTTGACAGCTTTTCTTCTCAATTTTTTTCTTGCTAAATTATGTGAGATGCTCACACACATCTATTTATACATACATAGATATTATTAGCCCCCTATCCAATGCTTGGTGGTGCTTGAATATTTCTTCCAGAAAGGTAATATTCAATTTATCTTTTGCTAGATATATTTTATGTTATTTATTTTTTATAATATTTGGCCAATAGTGTTAGAGAACATAGTATTTATGTATAAATACCACTAATTTTACACACCTCACTGCCACCAAAGTGCTCCTTGGCCTTCATCACTCTCACTATGTCACATCTAGGCTGGTCTTCATTCCGCTTACCCTTCTCCCGACTGTTTGATAACTGATTCTGTGACTCAAAATCAAGGATTTGTCATTGATCAGTGCTATTCACTCCCTTTTTCTCTCTTTATTACACAGATGAGTGATACCATCTGGCATTTGTCTTCCTTCCTCTAACTTATTTCACTTAACATGATGTTCTCCAGTTCCATCTAAATTTCAGTTTACGGAATGAGGAAAGAGATCTTTTTAGTTTACTAGACCTATATGAAGAGTAGAGAGTGGAGTCAATTTCAGATATAAAATGATCTACTGTGTGATTTCCTCTAAAATGACTTTAGGTTTCTCAAATTGTAGTGTTTCCTGTTTAGTAATAATTGGATTTATGTTTTCATTGTTAATTGCATCACCTATTTCATTATTCATTATTTACTAATAAAAATCTGTGGAAGTACAGAGTAAATGTCACATACCCAGGAAATCTGAGTATTTTTCCACTCTTGTTAATCACATCTTTTGGTAAATCTGGAAAGTCACTGAGTTTAATATGGATAGATAATCTGGAATTCACATCGTAGCATTTCAATTCCATGCAACTATTGAGAACCCAGCACCTTTGGTAAGTGCCTGTTCAGAAGTAAAGAACCACCCCAAAGTTATATTTTTTCTATCCAAAAATTTTTTTCTTCTTTTTCAATGTCCAGAAAATGAGTTTTCCCAGTAACAAAATCACAGACCTTATTTTCCGCTACTCATTAAATACCCATTCAAGGAACTATTTGTGGGACATCTCTCACACATCCTCACAACTCTTAAAATATAAACTTTTATATTTTACATTTTAACATACCGTTCACCTACAGCAGAGTATCCAGAAAAAATAATTGCCTATTTTGTTAAAACTCCAAAAGATACTTATCTTCATCAGGCTATATTTGACTTTATTGAATATATTCAAGTTAGAGATTTCAGATAAGATACTTGGCTTTGCATATTTTTAATGTTATGTACTATGAGAAATTTAGCAACATGTACTTTTAAGCTGAAGGTGACGTACTTTTTCTCAAAAATACTAAGTCTTCTTCTTTAATTGTTTTAAGTAATTTTCTGTTGTTATCATATTCACTGCTGGCTAACAGGATTTTCAAAGAAGAATTTAAAGTAACAGAAAGTGGATTTTCCTCTCCTCTCCCAAGGTTAATTTCACTGAGTAGACCAGTGATTAGAGCATTTCAAAGCAACAATATATAAACAAAGGCAAACGATTTGTGCTGGATTTAAATTTTTAAAAATATTGATCATAGTACCCATTATAAAATGATGTTACCTTTCTGTACTTTTTTTTTTTGGTCACAACCAGTGGTGGTCCAGGTTTACCCTTGGTTCCTTTCTCGAGTACTCCTGGTGGTGCTCTGGGGATCATAAGAGGTGCCAAGTGCAAGGCAAATGTCCTGCAGAGTTTACTATCTGACTCCTCTAAGCTTTTTGATTAAAAGTAAAAATTGAGCATCTTTCTTAAAATGGATTAATTAATTCAGTTAAAACAGTTTCATACACATGTGTGTACATTTCTAAAATTAAACCTTCATGCATAATGTCTGATAGTTTCTCTTTGGTTGATAAGTGATATATTATTTCCAACATAAATTATTTATATGGGGTGAAAACAACTAAATGACATATGATTTATAGATACTCTGCAAAAGTCAAAAGCATAAACTACCCAATCACTTTAGTAAAGATGATATAAAACAGAGTAACTGGTAAATGTTTAAATTTTTAAGTTTCAGTTCAGTTCTTTGCCACAAATAGGTTTTAACCATTTACAATATTTTCCCTTAAGTCTATTCTCAACAGAGCAGTTTCTTTAAGACAGTATCCTTGTGTTTACTGCTCTGCTCAAAACCTTCAATGGCTATTATATCACGCAGAATAAAATCATTCCTTAAAATGGACTGCTTACAAAGTTTTCCACGGTCTATTACCCCTCTGCTCTCACGATCACGATCACGGTCCTCCCATTGTTCATCGATTTTTTTTTTCAAGCGGGCCCAGTAACGTCTCCATCGTGAGACTTGTTGTTACTGTGTTTGGCATATCAAATACATCACAGGTAGCTTGCCAGGCTCTGCCGGGTGGGTGAGATACTCTCAGTAGCTTGCCGGGCTCTCCGCTCTCACCTCTTATATTTCTTTCTCTGCTCCACTCCTGTTGTTTGTTGGTCTTAGAACCTATAAGGCTTTCCACTGTAGGCTGATTTCTACACCTGTAATAATATTTCTCCAGATACCCACATGGCAGTCTTGTGGATATCAGGCTCCCATTGAGTCTTCTCTAAAATATCCTCACAATAATATCTACACTAATCACTCTGTTTTAAAGCTTCTAAGAAATTTCCCTGCTCCATCCTATTTTCATAGTTTAATATTATTATAATATACCATCTGTTGGGCTGGAACGATAGCATAACGGTATGGCATTTGCCTTGTGCACAGCCAGTCCGGCTGAGCTGGATTCAATTCCTCTGCCCCTCTCAGAGAGCCCGGCAAGCTACCGAGAGTACCTCAGCAGCACGGCAAAGCCTGGCAAGCTATCTGTGGATGTATTTGATATGCCAAACACAGTAACAACAAGTCTCAAAATGGAGACATTACTGGGCCTGCTCAAGCAAATCGATGAACAACGGAAAGACAGTGACAGTGACAGTGATACATAACCAGTGTTTGGAGAAGTACCTGGCATTAATATACACATTACTATATAACATTAATGCAATATAGGTTCGATTCCTCCGCCCCTCTCAGAGAGCCTGGCAAGCTACCGAGAGTACTCAATATGCCAAATACGGTAACAAGAAGTCTCACAATGGAGACGTTACTGGGCCTGCTCGAGCAAATCGATGAACAACGGGAGGACAGCTCCTCCTCCAATATTATAAATAATCATGTACTGTACTCTCTATTCCTTAGTAACTAGAATGTAGTTTCTATGAAATATGGAGTATACTTCCTTTCTATTTATCTGTGGTGTTTGGATTGTAAAGAATGTTACTTTGTATTACAATAATACAATAATACAATATTGTAATATTGTATTACAATATTACAATAATAATGCATATATTGAAAAAAAGGGAAAGTAAATTTATTCTTAATTCTACTGCTCTATTATCATAGTTTTTAAGACAATAAAATATATTTTTGCATATCATTTTTTTCAAAGCCTGCTACATCTCTTAAGAAACTTTATTCTAACATACTATTTCAAATTTTCTTTTATTATGCAGAAAATATTCAATGACGTGTTTTTCTACAAGTTAAAGAAAAAGGCTAAGATTCAGGCTTAACTTTTGATATCATGCAAAAGTTATGACCCTCTGTGGCTGCATTTTCCCATACTAAAATTGTAATTCTATCTGCTGTGTCTCAAAAGACTGGGAGCTATTAAGTGATATGTGTAGTTATGTGGATAAATACAAATATCCCTTGTATTTTGTGATATTTTTATCACAAATATAAATATTATGATACAATAATACAAAAAGACTCATCAGACTATGATAATTAGCTTGAATTATTTTTCTGAAATGAAACTAGACTTAAATGTAAGAGGTTCACTTCTTGGCCTTTTGGTTAAGATCAGGTGTAATATCTGTTCTTATCACATTAATATCTGATATTAATATTCATCTGAGGACAATATATTAAACAGAGTTTTGGAGCACAGTGATAGAATAGGAGGTTTATCCATCAACTCCATATATCGACCTGTTATTGTAGTTCTTCCAGAAATGGTGCACTCTTCTAGGGAATTAAAAAATAATATAAGAAGAAAAGATAGTAAGTTGAAGACCTCAAGTTTTGGAAAAATATGTATCTATTGCCTGGTCATATTAATTCAAATAAGTAGATATTTAAAACATTTGCAATCCTGCTATTGAGACTGATTCAAGTTTGGGGCTGCAGAGATAGTTTAAAAGGTCACAAAGCATATTGGCATGTGGGTTGCTTGGATTTTTCACTGTCACCCCATACTCCCCTGAGCACCTCTAGGAGTGACACTCAAGTGACAAACTAAGAAAAGTCACTGAGCATGACCGGGTATGAACTGAAAACCAAACCGAAAAAAAGTCAGGTTTTCTGAAAAATAACATTAGAACATAAGAATGATATTTCATTTTAATGAAGTCAGTCTCTATTTGATAGCATAATATTAAAATAATGGGTCAGAGGGTTATAACTTACATAGGGCAAGGAGAAGACTTTGGAAGGAAATATCAGAATATGGAGTGGTGACAGAGGCTGAAACAGGATGGAACGTCTTCAGAAGAGGAGGGCTAAAAGTTCCTCATAAGAGGGGCTTCTTAAAGGACCCCCAAATAAATCAACTAATATTGTATTAACTAAGAGCAACCAGAATTGCATACTCCAAATAAATCAACTAACATATTATTGTATTAACTAAAAGTAACCAGAATTGTGTATTTCATCCAATCATTCACTCAGCCCAATTTCACTGAGCACATACTGTGTCATAAGAACTGTTGCTAGGCAAAAGAATGCATCTGTAGAAGATTAAGACTCAGCATGTACCTTTGGAAGGGACTGCATCGGAAATCCAATGGGGTCAAATGTCTGTTGCTTCCTGTCCCAGAACAGCCTTTGTCAAACTGACTTGGAGCTTTTCCTTCATTTCCTGAAGGGACTCAGCCAGTCCCAAAGCTGCCAGGAGCACATAGCAGTTTACACAATCTGCCTCCAGGCTGCTGGAGCAACTCACGTGCCCAGCTGCTTGGACAGCAGCGCAGAAGGCAGCTGTGCAAGCCCAAAGGCCTGTCCTGGCCACCCAGGCGCTCTCCCCAGAGGAGAGGAGCTAGAGCGCCAGCCCACCTGGCTACCACAGGACACTGAAGGGTCAAGCAGCAAAAGGTTTAGCATCTTTAACCATTATCTTTAGCCATGAGAACTGTAGGGAGAAAGGCATTGAAGGGTATATCTGGAACCCAAGTTAAAAGTTCTTTGAGTGAACTATTCGTATTTGAATTTTTGTTTGATGAGAAGATTCGAAGATAAACATAAAACAGGTAAACAGAAATCTATACATCTTGACATTTGTATGCTGTGAATGAGTTGCTTAGCTTCTCTGCGATAACTATAGAGAAAATAATAAACCAACCTTGTAGGACTATCATATGAATTAAAAAAGAAAATTTATGTCAAGTAATTACCATATTTCCTAAAATATATTAAAAGTATTGACCTGTTGATCCTTTTTAAAATTACTCTTCTGCCCCTTATTTGCAAATTTCTACAGTTGCTTTCTGTATTCTCCTAATTAGTTCTAATATTTATGAGAATCTATTTCTTGTCACAATAATTTGCAGGACACTGAATAACATAAAGTGAAAGGTGTATCACTCATGTTTTCTAAGAGTACTCAGACTATCAAGGGAAGAATGAAAACTAGTAGTTATTTGTACCTGCAATGTTCCAGGATCTGAAAGATAAAAGAAATACAGAATAATTCAACACTCATAGCAACCTCCTGAGGATATAAATGTCACACCAGCTCATAGAATAGGATTTTTTTTTCAATTTTTTTCCATAGAATAGGATTTGACCTCACACTCAGCTAGTGTGTGATGAAGCAGTAGACAGAATAGAATGACAAGGCCAGGATAAAACAAGATAACTAGAAATGTAGGTGGATGTTCTATTAGCAACTTCATGTCTTTCATCATTTTGAATTATGTTGCTGCTTTGACCTTTTGAGCTACTTTAAGCCTTATATTATTTTATTTGAAATTGTTCAATAATAATAGTTAATTAAAAATAGTTAATTCATCATTGATGGCACTAATAATATCATTATGTTTCAAAAATAGTAATTGAGTATATAGATCTATGTATATCTCCAAAATTCAAAAACACTATTACATTAAACAATGAGCTTAAAAATTTACCTAGAAAAGCATTAATAATCTATTTTCAATATAAATTCTTTATTTTTATTCTTAACATCAATTTCAATTTTCACAAATGGGAAAAGAGGTATCTGTGTTAATTAGTCTATAGGAATGATATTTCTCTAACAACGGAAGATCCTGGCAAGCTACCCGTGACATACTCAGTATGCCAAAAACAGTAACATTGACGGTCCTCATTCCCCTGAAAGAGCCCCCAGTACACCATTGGGCTACACTAGTGCGTGACAGGAATGAAGGGAGATGTTACTGGTGCATGCTCAAGCAAATTGATGAACAACAGGATGACAATGATACAGTGATTACTCCAACAGGACCCAAATACGTCAGCTTAAAAACAATAGAAACTTACTTCTTTCTCCTATTCTAATGTAAAAAATAGAGATCCTGCTCCACTGACTCCACTGTTTCTTTCTTTCAGTAACTACAATCCAAAGCAAGACCCTATTGAAGGTTTTATCTCAAAGAGCAATAAAAAGAGCAAATGGATGGCAAGAAACATCTTCAAGCAGGTGACAACATGAAGTTGCCAACAGCACACCCACCTACATTTTAAGAGCTGCAGAAGGTGCTGAGAAAGGTCATGCATAGATAAATGTTTACATTTATCGATAAATTATACTTCTGATAAAATATTTTGATGTGAAAGGAAAAGGAATAAGTTTGGTGAAAAGTCATGGCCATTTAAGTTCCAATAAATCGGTCATGATCCTCCAATAATTTGGTTGATTTTTATTTTATATGTAATTAAGTTGATGAGTAAGGCTTGGCCATTTATTAAGTTTATATATAGTGAGGCAGCACTCTCAGAAAATGCTTGAATGTAATCTAGAGTAGTTATATGATCACAGAAATATTTTGTTCTATGATCAGAGTTATACTTTCTTCTCCACTTTAATCAGTCATTAATGTTTTCTTTAAAAATCTATGCATACAAATTATTTTTCTCTTTTTCACAGGAATAAGGATACCATGATTTTTAACAGTATTCTATGGGCTTAGAAGTAACTTTGCATATATTTAATTCATGTTGAGTACAAATTAAATATGAAATTTAAGCTAATAATATGTACATGACTCTATATGTACACAGATATATTTATATGTGCATATATGTCTTAAATGGCAACTGGTTCATGTATTAAGTACATATTAATATTAGATGACAAGGATGAGGGAAGAAGAATAGATGTGATTCCTCAATGCTGACTTTAAAACTATTAAAAAACATTTCCGTATTGGTATATGCATTCATTTTATGGAAAATATTTGTTAGCATTTTTATTACAACAGCAAATAGTGATGCTTGTGCAATCATAAGGTAAAAATATATAGTATTTCTTTTTGGGGGGCTGGGGCAATCACACCCAGTGATGCACAGGGGTTACTCCTGGCTCTGGAATTACTCAGGAATTACTCCTGACGGTGATCAGGGGACCATATGGGATGCTGGGAATCCCCGGGTCGGCCGAGTGCAAGGCAAACACCCTACCCACTGTGCTATCGCTCCAACCCCTATATAAAATCTCTTGATACGAAAAGTTTTTAACAAAGATTCTTTTTCTTTTCTAGATATTTACTACAGTCTCAGATGAGTCTTTGAAAAGTTTGTGACTCAGATAAAGATTACAGAAAACTTTTTACCTTCCCAAAACTATTCAGAAAAACTTAGAGAAACTTCTGTTCTCTCCTAACAAAATTAGTTTCTCAGTTTATTTATTGCACTTTCCTCTCTTTTCTAAATCTCAATTTGTATTTTAAAAAAGCAACAACTTTGGCTGTTTTAATTTTCATTTCCCTGGCAATCTGTTTTACTTTTTTTCTCCTTCCAATTTTCAGGAATGACATCTTCCCCTAAGCACCTATCCTGCTTCTCAGATTCTACTGATTTAAGCTTCTTCATCCCAAATTCATGCCTTTATTTGCTTGGTACAATGTGATGAAATTACTGCCTTCAAATGTTTGACTCCAAACCAAGTGAACTTCAGAATAGACTGATTTTATTGTGCCTTATCATATTAAATATGCAAGGAAGTAGTTCATTACAATTTATTTATAATAGTTTACTACAGATTATGGACATGGTATTCTCAGGAATGAATATTGGACACAACCAATGCTTGCCAACTAAGGAATGAGAAAACCAGCTTTTGTGAAAACAAAGAGCAATATTTTAACCACAAGCAGAGATGCCTGGTGAGTCAATAATTCTTTTAGTAACCCAAATGGAAATGAACAGGGATACACTTGCATTTAATGCTCTATCTCTCAAAGTTCTTTGTAGTCAAAAACTCTAATGCAAATGGTAAAGGCATCAGAATCATGAAGGATTGCTAAAACATATTTCTTAGGAAAATTAAGTGGATCTCTAAAGAAAAAAAGTTATCAACAGAAATAGAACATGAGGTTGTTCTTTCAACAAATCTTATAATTTTTGTCTTGAATACTGTTTCTCTGAGTGATTTCTCCTACCTCATGGGAGTTTTTGCTTAAACGAAATTAAAAGTGTGAAGATGAGAGCTACAAAAACAAAATAATAGAGTAAAACATTTCATCTCCAGAAAAGAGTCTGTGCATTGTGGCTTAATAGACTTCATTTGAATGTCAACTATGATATTTACTAGCTATGAAGCTTTGAGACAATTACTTATCTTTATAAGATTCAATATTGTCATTCATGCAGTGTGATAAAAGAAAACAAATATGAAATTTTCTTGTAATAATTTTAAAAATATTGTATGTAATGCACTTAATAGTCAAGCATATTATATAAAATATATTATATGCAATAGCTTATATTTAACAAAACACATTGCATAAA